AAAGGACCAGTCTGCTTTATGTAGTTTGGTTTGAACCTCTGAGGAAAGGGAAGTGATGCTTCACTTGGCTGAGCAGTCCTGTGTTGATATTTCGGGCTGATGGTTGAAATTCTGGCCATCACTGGATCCCAGAGAAATGATGCCTGAGAATGTCACGTTATTGATTGAAAATGTGGATAGTACCATCGTGTTTTGAAAGCCACAACAAGCGAAAACAAAAATAATAATTCCCCAAATGCCAGTGTAATAAATAATATACCAGGAACCATTTAGAGATTGCAATGTATCCTCTGAAAATTTCCTCTTGTGACATTCAAGACATAGAAAGGTGCTTTTTCTGGGATTATTTTTATAAATATGTCTACATAAATATTCCCAGTATGTAATACCCTCCTGCTCTCACATCCCTCAAGCTGTTTGCTATCATTCTAGTCCAGAACATTTCCTGTTACCAAGGAATTCCTGAAGCTTGCTGGCTCCCTGTGATGGAAATGGTGCCCTGGTCTGTGCCTGAGAGGGAGCCCAAGGGATCTGTCCTGCAGAGGGAAATCTGTCACTTGTCCCACCAGCACTGCTGGGTTAATGTGGGAAGAAGAGCTGTGTTAATCGTGCGAGGAGCTCCTTTGGTTCAGCAATTGTTCTCTGCTGCTCTTACTGCAGCCACCAACCTCAGATGGGTGAGCTGAGCCCTGTTGTGCAGTACAAGTGCACTGCAGCAGGTAAAATGTGAAGTTAGGCACACATAAATGTTTCTGATGTGAATCTAGTGGAGGATGTGTGACTGACAGGCAGACACAGGAGGGTTTATTTATATAAAAATGGGCAGTGTTGATGGAGGGCTCCTCCTCTTCTGCCATTCCTTCCCCAGTGCCTTGCCAGCACATCTTTTATTCCATTTTCATGGCCAATAATAACAGATAGCAGAGCAGCTCAGTGTCCAGTCCATTCACTCTTCAACATCTCCTGCAAAACTGCAAAGCTGTCACTGCAAACCTTTGGGTTCTCTAATTCTGCCCGGAATATTCCCCCCAGGGCCCCCAAGGCACGTTGGAGTGCTGAGTACTTGCCCAGCAGCAGGCAGGAGGCTGGGGAGCCCTGCATGGCAGAAAGGAGAAGGGGAAGGTGAGGCAAAGATCAAACATCCCCTGTGCAGAGCTCGGGGCTCTGTCCTGCAGCCTCACCTGCAACACAGGAAATCCTCCCAGCCCAGCACTGAAACTTTATTGGAAATGCAGGTGAACCCAATGGGAAGAAATGCTGATGTCTGACTCAATTCAGAAGGCTGAATGATTTCTTTATTATAACTATGCTGAAATACATTAATATACTATATAAAAGGAGGATACTAAAACTCCATACTACTTTCTCTAACACAACTGGTGCCCCTCTCTGAGAGCCCAGCCCCAGGTGGGTTGGATTGGCCACCAGGCTCAAACAATCCTCACCAGAATCCAACCAAGCAACATCCCAGGTAAACAATTCTCCAAACACATTCCACATGGGAAAAACAAGGAGCAGAAATAGAAATTGTTTTCTCTTTCATTTCTCTCTGTGCTCCCCTATGAAAAATCCTGAGAGGGAGAAAGACGTGCTTGCCCCAGCACTTGAGAAACATTTCCCTGCCAGCACCCAGCGATCCTCTCAGGAGCCCTGGTGGGACCCTTGGGTGCTCCTGGAGGCTCAGAGCTGCACTCGAGGATCTCTGTGGGTCCCTTCCAACCCAGAATATTCTGTGACCCAGGACAAATTCAGCACTTGCTGAAAATCCCTGCAGGGAAGGAGAACTGCTCCACCCTTGGGATTCCAAAGCCTTACGAGCCCAATTCAGAAGCCATTTAAGAAGAGGGGGACTAACATTAAGGATCTTCCTTTAAATTTCAATTTCCTAGGCAGTGAATGTACTATGACAAATGAGTGAAGTGTTAAAAATCAATGTCCTTACATGGCAAAGTAAATTGATATTACTGCCCAGCAAAGCAGGAACACGTGAATACAAATAGTGTGGTTTACATCCCCGTGTTGTCCTAAAATATCTGTCAGTAATTGCTGCAACAAATAGGGCTGCAACACTGCAGAAATTATAAAAGTTGATTTCTTTGACAATTCTTAGAGGCCCTGTCTGCCACTAGCCTTAATGTCTGTTGTTATTATGTGGTGTTTCTGTATGGTGTACAAAATGTCTGGCTTCCAGCAAAATATTGCAGTATGTCAAATAAAAAAAGTTTACTAGCAATCAGCTGCACTAATTGGAATGACAGTGACATTCTGCACTACACTTAAGAGTGGAAATACCTTACAGACAAGATCCTGACATTTGACTGAGATTCCCTGCTCAGGCTAATGACATTGTCTAGAAACGCTGCAATCACAGCCCAGAATTCAGATTCAGACTGTATTCACACTGTTATAATATTTACAAAATACTTAAGCCTGTGACACAAGAAATTCTGCTTATGGAAGGAATAAGTAGTTCTCTCTTATTCTAGTAGTTCTCTGTGAAAGAAGGATCTCCTTTTAATTTAATAATGCCAATGCAAAAAATTAAAAAGGCCAACCACACTACTGACTTAAAATTACATATTTCCTCAGACCCTATATTGAAATTCAGGGTTCGTTATGAACACAGTTTGAAAAAATTGAGATTTTTTTTATTTTTTCCTATTTTCTGGAACCAAGCAAGAAGTTCTTTGTGCCAGCCAGTGAAACAACTGGCATGAGGAGTCCTGGCCAGGTTGCACAGCCCTGTTCCACCTCCTCAGCTCAGGGACAGGAGCTTGGCACTGGGTATGAAATCATTGCTCAGTTTGCATCGTCCAGGCACTCTGGTAAGAATGAATGTGTGGTGCAATTTTGATAGTGGATAAAATAAAAACCAAGCAACACGAGCAAGGATGATTGCATGAGAAATAAATTATATGATATACCTTATTGTTGCATTATAATGAGGTATACAATATAATATACTATATATATAATAATACTGTCAATTAACAGTTGACAGTAACAATTAACTGGATTAAAAGCTGCTCTGAGATGGAGGCCACTCCCTTTTCCAGGTAGAATCCAGCTCAGAGGACCAGTTTAATACTAGAAAACAGAACTCATTCTGGATAAAATAATGTTTTCCAAAGTCAGGATTTTGGGAATAAAAGTCTGGAATTCTAAATGAGCTCGGGGCAGTAATCACAGAGTGCAATCCCAAAGCCAGCTCCAGGACAGGCACCTTCACTGGGATAAAAAACTTCAATTTTGGCTCTCCAGAGGAATCTTGTGCTGGGATTCCCCCAGTGCAGCTCCCTTAAAACTGAGAACTAAAACCAACACACCTAAAATGAGGATGTTTAAAATTCAGATCTCAATCTTTCTGCACTTTTTTCTTTTCCTAGCAATTCAAGAGGATAAAGGTTTAATTAAAAAATGTTTAAAAGAAAGCACCCTGCACAGAGCTAAGGACATGAGGAACTTGCAGTGATAGAGAGGCTCAGAGTGCTTCTGCCACGTTAGCTCACTGATGATTAAATTGGTTTAAATATTAGCTATAGTTAGAGCTGTGCAAAATAGACTTTGTTTTTCAGAAATTATACAGAACTTTCCAATTTCATAGAACCCTGCACTGCCTCAGTTATGGGCTCCATTTGCAGCGCCGATTAAGCAGCTTTTTGCATCAAAAATGCAAATATATACACATTTTTGATGCAAAACACTCCTTGCTTGAACACTCTTACGTCTGCTGTGATACTGGCCTGTTTGTGCTCAACAAATTTTCCTGTTCCTGGAACTTCACAGTACATTATGGGCTGCAAACAGACCCACTTGGGGATAGAGAAAACATTTTTAAAGTTATGCAAAACATTCACAACAAAATGCAAATACTGTTTACAGTTTTCAGCATCTCAGTATAGCAACTCCTATTCTAAATGGAAAAGTTTTTAATCAGCCTCTGTGCTGGGTGTTGGTGCTGTTGTCTTGCAGGAAGGCTGGGCCAGCTTTAGGGGCGAGCCCAGAGATGGATTTGGATAAATTTAACTCTGCCACCTGCAGCATGAGATTCATTTCCCCATTTCTCAGAAGGTTTTCTGGCAGGGGGCTGCCTCCTCTGGGGGGAGAGAAAACCAATAGTCAACAGATTGGATTTTAATTCCACCACTGTTGGAACTCAAAATGTCCCTCAGATATTCTTAGAGGTTCCAAGCCCAAGTCAGAAGCATTTAAGACCCGAGCAGGCAGCTGAAAACAGCTGTGATTTTAAATTTAAGCCATAAAATAATTTACCAACTTTGCAAAAAAACCCCAAAAAGTCACAAAAGTTTAGATATTATAGTAAAAGTAGTTACAAAATAAAGAAAAAAAAAATTAATGCTACACAAAAGAGTTTTAGCACCTATACATGGGGGTATAAAATGTAATATTTATGTGGGCATTAGCAGGTTTGAGGGAAATTTATGTATTTATATGTGGTGCCTTTGACCATCCCTGGGCACATTTTTTCCACATATAAAAAGTTACTTAAGGAGAGTTGTATCAGCATGGCTGCTGATATTCATTAGGGTTAAATCCAATTAGAATTTTGAGTAAAATCCAGTGCTATCTCTATACTGTTGTGCAGTTCAGTTCTGGTGATGTCCTTAACAGTTTTGAAGGGAAGAGTCTGTCAAGTTTCTGTTCTGATAAAACCATTCTAGGAAGGAATTAAATAATCTGGATAACATCAGCAATAGCTGTCTGACTATATGTCTGCTTAAAAGTTCTATACTGAAATCCAGCCTCTTAAAATAAATATGGACCCTTAGGATTTGTGCATTAATTCCCTTTTATTGTTATTTTTGTAAAAATTAAATGGTATCGCCATGATTTAATTTGGGTTTTTAAAAATTATATACTTTTTTGGGTTATTTGGTTTTTAAAGTCCTCCTGCATTGGAAAAGGCACCTGGTTCCCCAAATTCAAGTCAAATAGAATTGACACCTCAGAGAGAAAAAAAAGACAGAAAGCCACAAAACGACAGTAAGCTAAAATGGAATGTAATTTCAGCATGACAATTTTATACAGCAAACCCAGGCTTTGAGTGATGGTATTCAATAAGAAATAATCATGATAATCAAGTAAAACATTGGTGCATCTACCAGAATCATGGTATGTATATCTTTATTACAGTTTTCAAAATACATGGATTAACAATGGCCAGGCTGTGATTTCATCAAATTCCTATTTTAAACATTACATACAAACACAGAGCTGTTTAAAAAATAGAAATGCATGAGTTTTGTCACCTTTTTTTTTTGATCCTTTTTTTTTTTTTTTTTTTTTTTTTTTTTTTTTTTTTTTTTTTTTTTTTTTGGCATCAGGAGTCCTATGACTTCCAAAAGGGAAATCAAATGGTGCATGGTAGCAGATTGACTGAGCTGTAGTAGGTTATTGTTCACGTTCTGTGGCATATGTATCACCTCAAACAGTGCTAGGAGCACTCCAAGAACAAATCCTTCTCCTTTCCCACTCTGCCCGTGACACCAGTGGGTGCTTGCAGGACTGCAGGATGCACAACTCCCTCCCTGCAGCACAAAAGCAGCACTAGGAGACCTGCAGACACCTGAAGCTGAGGCGTTTGGCTGCATTTGCTTTGATTAATTTATTTTTTTTTTTTTTTAATTAATTATTTTTTATTTACATTTCGCGTGCATGCGCGGGCGTGTGCGGAGACACCGCAGAAGGAGAGGTTTCTCACAATACTTATTTAAAAATGAGTTTAAAACTTGCAGATACAGTATGGCACATCAGAGGTGGGCTGGACACTGCTCAGCACTTGTCCTGCCCGACCTTGCAGCACTTGGAAGGCAAACAGCAAAGTAGAACTTGGCCAAGCCTTTGCTGAATGGAAAAAAAGCAATTTACACACACAGGGAAGTTTGCTCCCACAGAACTATTATTACCTGTTTGAAATATTCACCAGCTAGATCATTCTCAGGGCAGGAGTCACCCATCAAAGCAGGGTTTGCCCGAGGGATGTGAAAGCTGAACGCTGCAAAGTTTCCTTAACAAAAGCTATAGGAGGATTTCCAGAGCCAAACCTAAAACTCGGCCAGATTCTCAGAGTTGGGGTGTTGTGGGATGAATTTAAAGTAGGTTACTAATGAATTGTGGCTTGGATAGAAACCATGAAAATATTATGGTTTTTTTTACAGCATTTGTCTGAGGTAGTACATATACCACACACAAAAATGCAAAAATATACAGATATCCATGATTATTTGCATATTACAGAAGGGAACTATGGGAACGCTCTTGTATCTCAATTCTCAAGAAGAAGAGATCATTTTAGATCACACTGCTCACGTGGACCACAGTCAGCTGAAACCAGAACAAGTGACAATATTCCTGGGAACGCTCCCTGGAGCTGTCTGCCAGTGCTCCTGGTTTGGTTTTAGCCAAAAAATCAGATTAACACAAACATCACAGGTGTGCTGGGAAAGGATCCCTTTGAATCAGACAAACATACATGGCAGGGCAGGCTGTTCTCCCAGCAAACTGCATAAAACTGGAGCAGAACCAGTGCCTTTCCATTTCTGCCCTGCACACCAGGAGCTGGAGATTTGTACACCACTGAAACATTTCAGATATATTTGTACACCACTGAAACATTTCAGATATATTTGTACACCACTGAAATATTTCAGATATGTATACCTGTACACCACTGAAATATTTCAGATATGTATACCTGTACACCACTGAAACATTTCAGATCTGTATATCTGTACATGATTGAAACACTTCATTCCCATGACATTCGGAGGTTGAGTTCGATTCATCGCAAAGGTAAAATTATCTTCCTCTTAAATAAACTAAGAAATGTAAACAGTGTAACATCATTAAAAAAAAACCCTTTCTCAGTACTTGTAACTGGTAAAATGTGAATGCAAACAGATGTGCTGGTATATTGTTAACGTCATGTCTCAGAGGACAGAGAATGAAACATAATTAGCAAGAAATTTATGTATGAACCCTCCAGTGATTTTCTTTCTGGGATTACTTTGAATACAAATATAATTTAACTGATATATTTCATTTTTTTAAAATTAGAAAATAAGGCAAGTGCATTTCTGAAAAAGGTGCTACTCTTCTACACTTCTAGATAAACATGTGACACCTCTGAAAATTAGATCAATAATAAAAACATTAAAAATATCTGCAATTTAATATAGACTGAAAAACTATCAAAAGACAAAGTGACCAGCATCAATTTCAGAAAATATTTTAGACTTCATAAATACGAGCACCCTATATTTACATAAATTATCTTCTAAACTAGTTTTCCTTTGAAAGACACTTTCCTTCTAACAGATATGTCCATTAAATTATATAAATGTTTCAAATATGAAAAAAATAGTAGTAAAATAGAAGCATCAGATGATGTTGTTATTTTGGATTTGCCTTTTTTTCCTAAGATTTGGTTCTTGAAAATCTGTAGCCAGCTTTCACAGCTTTAAAAAAAAAAATAACCCACGGAAATGAAAAACTTGTGCACTAATAACTACTGCATTCGTATAAAGATTCTGTGGAGAGCTTTTGAGTTTTCACATATAAAGATTATACCAATACTTGTAAATCCCAGCAAAATGGTAATTTCAAAATCTGAATTCTAAGACACTATTGATTTTTATAGACATTATGAACCTAATCCTTTAAACTGGCTTTGTACATTAAGCACATTTTTATAAGTGTAAATTTAATAGTTCCATTTCAAGAAGCTTCAGTACAAGGCTGATGTTGACCTTGCAGAAACAGGATAGAATTCTTTTTAGCTCTTACTGATAAACCAGGAGACAAAATCCTGTTGCATGCTTTTTTTTTTTTTTCTTTTTTTTTTCTTTTTTTTCTTTTTTATTATTTTTCCTGAAGTATCATACAACCTTTTAGTTTGTTCCTAAAGCCCCCAGACAGTTTAGGGACAGTTTACTTGACAGTTTACTTGACAGCAAGCATTTCACTAGGTTTCAGTGCCATTCCTGTGTTTAGAGCTATGGGCAAACCCCCTGTATACTTTGAAAAAAAATACAAAAAAATTACAATTCAATACTAGATTGAAAAGAAGCTGTATCTTTTCTTACATTAATACAGTTTGTAATTGTGGGAATTTCTCCCAAACTACTCAGATAGTTTTAAGAGGATCTCACCAGAGAAGCAAAAAGAATCTACTGTACAGAGATGCTCAGCTCAAGCAGTAGTGCAAAGATCCACTGCCCCAGGAGCAAAGTCCCTCCAGAGCAAGCAGTGTGTGCACAGCAGCCACGGACACCTCACCTTCCAAACAGCCTTACAGACACTAAAAAACCCCAAGCTCCCCAGAGCCCCAGGCAATGAAAGCATCCACAATAATTTCATCAATCAGTGATAAGCATTAATAATCTGAGAACAAGTGCCAGCTACTACAGAGCATCCTGATTCTTTAAAAAATACCATAGCTCAGCAACTGATGCAGTAGCTCCACTGGAATCCCAGCTGAAACCCTCCAGGTGAGCAGTGGAGTTTGGGTGGCCAGGGTGGGGCAGTGGCCTGAGCCAGGCTGGCCTCTGCCCTGGGGACAAAGGGGACAAAGGGGACAAAGGGAGTGCCAGGACAACCAGGGGCAGCTGCTCACCCCAGGAACTGCAGTGCAAGGGCCTGGACACGAAGGGGAACGGGAGGAGCCTCCCAAAAATCAGACTTGGTCACTGCTAGGCAGTGCTCCAGGTAGGAAATGTGTTGGGAGCTGCTGAACTCTCAGCATTAAAATCCACCAGTGGAGACCCTGCTACGTATTTTACCTGAGAAACAGAGGAAAAACTCAGAGGCAGTTCTGAAAAACTTCATCGTGTAGCTTGTCTCTAAAAACCTATACACAGGTATTCTAGCATCATCAAAATAGGACAATCATACTTTCCCCCAAATAGCTTTATAAAGAATATATAAGTGCACAATTAGAAAAATCCCTCCTTAGATACATTTAAAAACATATTCTGCCCTTGATATAATTTTGGAAAAAATCCTATGCTCTGTTTTATTTAATATTTTTTTTCTTTTTAGCAGTGATAAGTAACTACACCTCATCATATCACCAAAAGTGTAGATATGTGGTGTATCCTACTGGCAGCTGAAACAGCTGAATCCGCCAGGCTTTACACTGAGATAAGGTTTTCAGCAACCTCACTGGGGCTATGTGTTGCTTTTTTATGGTTACAAAAAAGATTCTGATAATGTAGACCAGCTCATCTCTGAATTTATTAACATACAATTTTATTATTTTTCCTTTCATGTTCAAATCAGAACTGCAAATGGAATCCACAGCTATACTCTTTCAACAGAAGTGTATTTTCTTACCCATATAAAACATAACCTAGAAATCCCCAACTCCTTTCATGTGAGTTGCCAGCTTAAACAAAAAGGGGTGAAAAAAAAAATAACATAAGAAAATAAGATATAAACCCTACTGTTTAACACTGTTTACAGATCTTGGTAGTTGGGCTAATAAGATACAGTATGTGGATGTTTTTTAGCAACAGTTTTAAAATTACATATTCTTACACCATCTCATTTAATCAATCCCAGTATTCCTTTATGATCATTGCCAATTTGGATGACAAACTCTTCCCAAAGCACATCCATTGTAAATAAGACAATTCATTAATTCTTTGGCATCAGAAGAATCATACAGCTGCAATTGCTCCGTTGTGTCGAGAACGAGACCTTTCCAAAGTTACTCGTTTGTTATCTGTAACAAAAAGAGAGAAAAAAACAAATCACCACAAGATTTGAAACACGGATAATGCAATGTCAAGAGGTTTTCAAACAGCCCTGAAAATCATTCTGAATGATATGTAAATAAGTGAGTAGGAGACTGGATCAGAGAAGTTTCACACTGCAGCTGCCAGACTGAGTTCAAGAGTTCTGCAATCAGCAATAAATTACTTTCTTGATCAGAGAAGCTGGGTGATAAAAGCATTAGGAGAATCCTGAAACACGGTCCCCTTGGAAACAGCACGTAATAAATACAATTCTGGGTAAAAATCCTTCAAATTTTATAAATAATGTATGCACAGAATCTCTGGAAAAATGCATTTCAAGTTTCATGAGAATGCACTGACCAGTGCAGTGCTGAAAACCTGCTAGATGCTCCAAGCCTAAAAGCCCAAACACCTCTCACTATAATTTGGAACAGAGTTAAAAATAGAACAGTTAAATGAGCCACTTCCTAAGCATTTCCTGATTGTGCAACGTGAACAAGTTTTAGTATAAAATATTACACAGTAATTATTGCAATGAATAATAAATACATCTCTATCACAGGAAAACAATCACCAAGTACCAGCCATGCTCCTAAATGCCTTTACAATAAAATTTTAAAGCCATGAATACACACACACACACACACACAAAAGGGCAGAATATTAACTCCCACTCA